AAATAATTTTTAAATTTTTTAAAAATTTATAGATTTGATCTACATATTAAGAAATAGATAAATTTATTCATGAAAAAAACGGATCCTCTTCATAATTTAATATATATATATATAAATTAATGAATATAAAATTATTTTATATTAACTAATAATTTTAAATTTAAATTTTATTTGACTCTAATAAATTATATTCCATAAAAAAATACATGTGATTATAAAAAATAAATAATCTTAAATAAACAATCCAATTAATACAATTTTGTAGTTTAATAAATATGCACAATTTGTGTATGAAAAATGTATACTATTATATAATTTTTAAGATAATTATTATAAATATTTTTTTAAAAAAATATCTTATACAGTAACTTGTGACTACATGACATTAGTATATATTATATAGACTTTTTATTTTATTTAAGTGTGATATTTTTAATTTTTTATTTAAATTTAGCAAATAATTATAATAGATTGTAAATAAGGTAACGGGGGTGATTGTCTTTATTCAAAGTAGGTATTAGAGAAGAGAAAATAGAAAATTATAGAGAGTATGGGGTTATGAATAATAGATGAGCAAGATGTCCTAAAAAAATGAGGAGTATGATGAAAAAAAAAAAGTCAATCAAAACTTGTTATCTCTTAGTAATGAAGATTTTAGTAAATATTTTATATTTTAATATAATATTTATTAAAAAAAATTATACTTTTCTAAACTAATTTTCTAAAAATCTTATTAATCATTGTCTACTTCATTCTAAAAACAATATTCATTTAAAAGACAAATTTTGAGGAAAGTACAATACAAAATATGTTTATTTTTTAATAATTAATTTAAATAGTTTAATTTATATATATAATTTTTAATATTTCAAATTAATTAAAAGATTCTAAATGTGACTTTTAAAATAATCAGTATAAAAATAATAATATTACCATACATGAAAAATTAATAAATAGAAAATGGTGTCAATTTGTGTTTAATTATTTTAAATTAAATTTATATAATTTCTTTTTTTCTTTTTCAACAAGCTTATAAGCCTAATATATTAGAAGATGTGTATTTCCACTTTTTAACTTTAAAGATGATACATGTATATATATTAAGAGTTAATCACCTATATATTGTTAATGTAAAGTTTTTTTATATCGACAATTAATTATATCTTTTAATTGTGTTATGTCACTGTTAAAAGTAAATGTGTTTACAGTGACATGACACAATTAAAAGATATAATTAATTGTCGGTATGAAAAATTTTTACACTAATGGTGTATAGGTAATTAACTCATATCTTAATATACGTGTTTTTACTGTTCATTTTAAATTTGTATTTTGCATACAGTGACATTAATTTCTTATTTGTTGTTAAATTTAGTTTTATATTTACTAGTTTATTTCTTATATTTTGTTCTCTTTTCAATTTATTTTTTATTCTTAATAAGTGTTTCTTTTTCATGTAATATTTATGATATATTTATATAAGCATATATACGATATAATAAATATTTTTTATTATTTTAAATAAACTGCTCCCACTGATCCAAAGTTATAAGTTTGCTACTGACCTCTCATTTGTTTATTTAAAAAATCATATGAGTGGGTAAAATAATTTTTATTTAATAAATCTTACTCATATTTTTAAATATATTTTTATTAATAATATAAATATATAATATTAAATATTATTTTAGGCTTGGATATAAAGTGGAGTAGTGTATGGTGCACCATTACCATATATATATTAGCATTCAGATATATCTAGGAAAAGAAGGTGGTTAAGCTCGTCGGGAAGTGGTTTCTTGATAAAATAAAAATAAAAATCAAATACTAAAATTAGTAAAAAGAAATATTTAAAAATAATTATAAAAAAAAGTTTTAAATTAAATATATTTTTATCTAAATATATACATCGAAAAAAGTGCAGAGTGAATTGACGGAATGATCTTGCAAACCGACATTCAGATTCGGTGAATAATAATACATTTTTATACATATAAAGGATTTGTCATGCAATCTAATTTGCGTCGTAAAATGTGTTGTCCACAACAATGCAATGCAATCATTCAGTTTGTCATACCATGCAATTTGCAATATTCCACGCAAAATGTTAAATTATTTTTGTAATAATCTATTTTATTACTTTAAAATTTTGAGTTCATTGTATACTTCCACTTAATAGCTAATATAGTAGTACCATGTTATTGTTGGGGTTGTTCATCAAAAGGAATTTATGGAATCAAACTATTTAATTTTAATTAATTTTGTTATTGAAATTTTTACTTTAACTTTAAATTAAATTAATTATAGTATATTTTACTTATCAAAATTTTTAATAAGACAAACATATTTGTATTTCTTAAAAGTATAACAAATTTTATTTCTAGTCTCTCATAAATTTAATGAACATTTTTATTCATTGATTTATATTTTAATTAGTTATTATTATTAAGTTTAATTGTTAAATCGTTAACATGATAAATTTTTTGACTTATCATGTATTAGTATGGCACAAGTCAAATGTCACACGTGTATGATAATAAAATAATTATGAATTTTTAAGTTAATTAAATAATATTTTTTAAAATCAAAATTAGAAATATGTAAGGCAAAAATGGAAGTGAGGAAGACATTGAAATTGTAAATCTAGTTAAAGAAATTTAAGGATTTGAAGAATAAAGAATTTTGAAAGGATTAGAAATATGAGTGAATTAAAAGAATTTAGGGATTTGTAAAAGAAAGAATTTTGAAGGGATTAAAATTATGATTCAATTGAAGGAATTTAGATATTTGAAGAAGGAAGGGTTATGTTGTGTGTGTTAGGTTGATCACCAATTTATTTGGTCTAAAATTAACTTAGTTTGTTTAAAGAAGAAGAAAAAAATTATCTTTTGGAGAATGGCCAAAAGTCCATTATTTTCAATATGTTATTTTTATTAACATTAACTGTTTGAGAGACAGTCTTAGTGAAAGAAGAGAAATAAGATACTAGTACATGGGTTTGCATGCATTTGTGCAACAGAGGGAAGAAAAAGAATTTTCTAAGAAGGAGAGTACAATTAGCTTTAAAAAGATGGGTGAAGACGATGTTGTTGGTACAATAATAAAATTGGATTCCACCAATTACTCTATTTGAAAGCCTCAAATAGAATACTTGCTATTTTGTAAAGACCTGTATGGTCTCATTGAGGCCAATGATACAAAACCAACAGATAAATCTAAAGAAGAATGGAAGAAGATAGATAGGAAGACTATTGGCATGATCAAACAATGGATGTATCAAAACATCTATTAGTATGTGTCTAATAAGACTATTGCTTTCAACTTGTGGAAGAAACTAGGCGAGTTATTTAGGTCTAAAATTGCACAAAATAATGCATTCCTTGTTTCAGAATTTTTTAAACTTAAAATATAAATATAGTTCCTCTAATGGTATCTCTAAGTAACTCTACTCCTAATGGGAAGCTTACTTTTAATATGGTCAAAGATAATCTCCTGAATGAAGAACTAGGAGGAAGGGACAAGGCATGGTTAGCTCTTATACTCATAATAAGGCTTTGGTTGTGGAGTAAGGGGGAGAAGCCAACATAGAAATTCTAAAAAACCTAATGATTGCAAAAAAGTTAAAAGGAAGGTCAAGGACAAGGAAAGGCATTAAGAGTTTCCATTGTAATAAAATGGGACACGTGTTGAAAGAGTGTAAG